GAATTTGTATGATAAACGAGGGACATGAAGAATGTCAAATATATTGTTCGACTCGTTTTATAATTACATTTGTATTTGTACGAACATGGAGACATGGTTAATCAAACTGTAATTATTAAATTCAGGAGAACATCAAATCTATAGTCATCTTATTTATACATTATATTTAATTATGTTTATCATATATTGTATTTATATATTATACATTAACGTTTCACATTTTATCACGTCTTCTTCTTTTGAAAATAATTAATCCTCCATATGAAGTCGAACGGTGAATCAAACTGTATTGAATTCAGCTGAATTATATTCAAATGTATTGTCAAAATCCTCTAATATTTTAAACATTGTATTTCATATACATTTATTACATTTTAAATATTAATTTATATATTTGTTTTGTATTTCTTGTATTATATTCATATTATATTTATTTATCTTAGATTTTCATCACGTCTTCTTCTTTTGAAAATAATCAGTCTTCCTTAGCAGGTCGATCAAACATGGCGATGTCAATCACAAACCTGTATTAAATTCAACAAAATTGTCTTACGTTTCACACATTATATTTAATTATATTTATTACATTTCATATATTGCATTCATATATTCGTCTTATATTTTATGAATTATATTTATATTATATTTATTTACATTTTACCACATTTATTTTCTTTTCTTGAAAATAATCAATCGTCCATAGCAGGTCGATCGATCGGCTGCCGAACACGGCGATATCGATCAAACTGTATTAGATCATCAGCAGCCATTTATCTCGCAATGTATTCAATCGTTCGCATGGTACATATTTGTAGATAAAAGAACGAAAGACGTAACCTTGAATTGCACAACGATCAGCTAGATAAAACGTACGCTGGAAATCAGGCTCGCTTCATTCGCCACCGCACGCACCTTTATCTCTCCCTTTCATTTGATTGTGAGTCATCGTTCCCCATCGGATCCTCATCATCCGAGGCACCATCAATTTCAATCATGCATCTCGAGCAACGAGAATCGATTGTTGATGCTGGCATGAAGATTCTTCGAGTTTCCGTTTTCACTCGAAAAGTGTTTGACTCGGCCCAGCTCGGCTTGACTCGGCTTGACTCGACTTGACTCGGCTTGACTCGGCTTGACCGAGCAGAACCGAGTCGAGCCGAGTCAAGCCGGGTCAAACTTAGCTGAGCCAAGCCGAGTCGAGTCAAGCCGAGTCAAACCGAGCCGAGAGAGAAACGGACGGATATTAGGCCCCGATGAATTTGACCGATTAATGGTTTAGTGTTAATTTCGGTATCTATTTCTATCGATAGAAACGGCTGCATTGCGTCTCGCCTGAAAAAATCGACGCAGCTGCGTTCCGTTGTTTCATGATCCGGCGGATAAGTGACTGTGCTTGAACGAACGCTTTATTTCGCTTTATTATTGGTAATTACGTGTCAGACGCACTGGCTGTTTCGTAGCATGTGTTTTATAGCGTTGTTTCGGAATGTGAATACGTGCTATAAAACTAAACTTATTATAAAAGTACGCGCGAGTTATTGTTCAAGGGTTGATACGCGCGTTATGAAAGAAGGTTCATCATGCCACTCGATCGAATAACGAAAACGTGAAAGTAAATTTCGTCGTTGTGAAAGCCAAAAAAAAAAAAAAAAAAACGATTGTTGCGAAATTATATTAAGAAATTATTACGAAATTATACGAAGAATTATATTAAGAAATCGATACGGGTGAAACGTCGGAGACGTTTTAACCCGTTGCCTTAACGATTTTCTTTCTATTTTAATTTTAAGGGGCAAGCATCACTTACTGAAACAGTAAAATTAATATTTAGAGTATATCTAAAGTATTGGAACGTTATATGTAACTTTTGTTTTTATCAATGAAGTTAAATTTCAAGTCTGAATTGGTTTGCAATTCACTTTTTCTTTCAAACCCGAGACCGTAACTCGATATTACAAGTCAAGGCGTTAAAGAAGTCTGTCTCTCGAGTGTTTAATTCAGTTCGCGTTGATCATCCGGACGCCTCGAAGAAATTAAAACGTGACAGCCGCGTAAAAGTCTCGCTTTGCGATCACTTCATTGTTTCGTTCAATTGATCACCCGCTTTCCATGCTTTCCATCCCAAAAGTAGGAAAATATTCGTGGAAACGCTCTCCGGAGAGAAACAATCGCTCTGAATCGAACAATAAAGATATTAATTAATTAATTCTTAGCGTGAGTTTCGGAGAAATTCTCGCTGGCAGGAGAGATGTTGTTGAAAGGAGGTGAGTAACGATAGATTAATCCATACGTCTGCTCCGGACCTACATCCTCAAAAGATTGCACCTATTTTTTCGATCGAGTAATGAATTACTCGGATTAGCAGGACGATTTCACGTAGTCACAGGATCTTGGCACGTGAAACACGACGACGTGCCAAGTGAAACAAACGGAACACGTCTCACACGCGACAGCACGTGTCACGCGTGTTATTTTCGCTGAGGAAAGTTGACGTTTCTCTTGCTTTCGATGCAACTTCGTACCCTCACCTGCAATTGTCGCGTCATAGTAACGCTGTTACGTTCTCTTAAATTTCTAATTTTACCTGACACGTTGGATTTACTATTCCAAAATCCATAAAATTATCAAATCTCTGGATGCCTCGTTTGCCAAGAGTTGGGAATAAAGTCGACAAAACGGATAAAGAAGAATTTTTCTACAATTTATTTTAATTTGTACGCTATATCTGACATGTTCATTAAACGACATGAAGAATTTCCGTATTAATTCTCCTGTTGATCGACACGATATCCTCGCTATGTTCATTTCCACGGCGTTTAATCGTTGCATTAATGAGAAACGTAATTGAAGAACTTGAATTATATAAACGCCAGTTATCGAGAAATTCATTTCCGCTGTGTTAAGCAAGTTCTCATTCCCTGGCTCCCCCGTTATTAAAACGGAGATAGCTACTGCCAATTATTGTTCGAAAGATTTATACGTCGTATACAGGGTGTGCTATGAACACAGGCTGTTGTACTAAAATTGCACTTTTCAATTCGTAGTCGCCTCTTTTAACTTAAATTTCTTGGACGTCTTCAGTGTCGTTTCACAGTCAGATACGTTCTCTACATATTCTGAGCAATTACATTTTTCTTTTTATCAGCTGCACGATCCAATGAAAAAGATGTATACTTGTATGAAAAGAACCCATCAATGACCTTGAAACTCCGGGAAAAAATGATTTTAAAGGAAGAAAAGTATTTTTATCAGCTGTTGACAAGTTATTATATTATATATATTTAATATTAATACTAATGTTAAATTATATTAATATATTTATTAATATTAATATATATAATATAAAAGATATATTAAAAATATAAAATATATTAATATAAAAAATACATAATGTAATATATATATGTGTGTGTGTGTATATATTAATTACTAGATATTAATTACTATATCATTGACGATATA